CAGCCAAGAGGAATCGTTTCCTAAACTCCCTCTTCCCCCTACTTCCCCACTTCCCCCAACCTTACACCAAAATCGGGTTAGGTGCTCATTTTCTGCTGCGTCATTCCCTTAGCAACCTACACTTCCTTACGATCCCACCCATTGTGTTGTATTAGAATAGGCTGCTTCCCATCTGTCTTTCCCGCTAGACTGTGAGCTCCCTGAGTACATACTATGTGCCTGGCCCTTGGTGATTAATTGTTAAAGGAATGAAAGAACAAAAGACTACAATTACATAGCTATTTCTACTTGCAGAACTGCTCTTAGGCTTTGTTTTCTCTTCAAGACTAATTTTAAATATCACTCTCCACCCATATGTTTAAGTCTACAGGTTTCTAGGCCCTTGTTGAGTGAAGAGCAGTTCATTACTAAATGACCTCCAAGAACAAGGCTCAGCATTCTCTGAAATCTCACGGAGCAGTGTAATCAGCTCTCAAGTATTTTCCTGTCAACTAGCCACAGGGTATTTGACCTTCTTATCCTTTGCTTAGCCAGCACCCTTCCTGCTTCGTCACTGTATGCTTAGGAAAGGTGAAATCATTTTAATACAAAGCTGAATACAACAATCTCTGAAGCAATGTATATTAAACTATAACACATTATTTCTCTTTCACAATATGGCTAGGGCAGCTAGAATTGACTAAGTATTTGTGTATAGGACAGAAGATAAGAATTCACTTTTACTCATATATTATCTGATTGTTAGTGCGTTGGGAATCAAGTAAATGTTTCCAGTTTTTATTTATTTATGTATTTATTTATTTGTATTTTTAGTAGAGACAGGGTTTCACCATCTTGGCCAGGCTGGTCTTGAACTCCTGACCTTGTGATCCACCTGCCTTGGCCTCTCAAAGTGCTGGGATTACAGGTGTGAGCCACCATGCCTGGCCATGTTTCCAGTTTTAAATGGAAATCACTTAACATCTTCGAGAAATCCAGAAGAGGAAGCTGTTGTTCATCCTGAACCCCTCTTAATCTGAAGATGCCCTCCCCTCTTTGCAACCATTCTTATATGGGTATATTCCCAACTGGAGAGTCAACCCCAGTGTGCTTGACTTGCCTTAATCCCCACTCTGTCCCTATCTCTTCAGGTTCTATAAACCCCTGGAAAGGTGATGGCACTATTGACCATTACCCATTGACACTCCTAATTTGGGGCTTCTGCTTATTGTCTCCAATTTTGTACCTCAGTTTCCCTTACCAAGGATAATTCATGTTTTCATGATCCCCACTGCCTTGGACAGAAGTGCTCAAATGGCTTGGCATAAGTTCTACAGAGTTCAGGCCCTGCTCTCTCATGATTAGGGTCTGTTGAAGAGATCTTCTGCCTTGAGTGGCTCTGCAGGCCTAGAGTTGGGAATGGGGCTAGAGTTGAGGGTTCTCTGAAGTAGGGATTCATGCACCCAAAGGGAAGGTTGGCAAGAATTTTAGTGGGTTTCTCAGTCAGAGCATCAGGTGACCATTTCTGGAGAGATTCTATGACTCTAGGGTGAGGATGAGGCCCTATGACTCTAGGGACTTGGTAAGTTTCTGTAAACTCGGTCACTTCCACATGGTCCACATGGTGGTGGTTGTGTCACCTCTTGACAATTTCCCTGTAGGGATCAAGAAAAGACAGAGAGAGAGACCCCAAGAGACCCTCTATAACACGAAGGACCTGTGAGCTTATGGGGGTGAGGTGGTAAAGAGAAGAAATGCTGGGCAAACTTCAAGACTAACAGGGGACAAATCACTGGGTGATAAGCTGGTGGCTGCACATAATGAGAGTTGTAGGAAACAGGCTGGGTCTGGAGGTGGGAGCCTGTCTGTATTGAAAAGGGTCCCAACATACACTTTCCCTGCCAGATAGCAAAACTTTTCTGACAGCAAAGAAAAACGAAGGACTAAAGCTGTCTTGAGGCAAGAAAGAAGGAAGAATAAGGTATATGTTCTACCAAGTGAGAAAAGACACAAGGGGAAAATTCCGAGAGGCAGCAGGTGTGATCCAGATGTTTTTCAGCAAGCAAATGAAAGAATTTGAAAAGTAAGCTATGAAGTCCTCTGAGTGCATAGAAACAGCCTGCCTTCCTCTGGCTGAGGATGAAAAGATCTGCACATTGCACAGATGCCTAGAAAATCACAGACACTGCTGGCTGCCAATCCAATATGCATTTTCCTTCCTCGTTCCCAACAGCAACATGATTCTGTTCAGGAATTTACTCTTCTTCATGGAGTCATTTTGCTTTTTGGGAAGCTGACCCTCTCACCAACCCCAGGGAATAGTGTAAATCCCAAGATGACAATCCCATTCCCAAAGTGATTCTTTTAGAAAGGGACCTCCTTCCAGATTTGTCAATGAGATAATAGGGAAGACTGGCGAAAGGTTTCTGGGTTTATTCCTAAGAAAGGAACACGGCAAGAAACAGGCCCTTTCTTCCTCTAGGTATTGTCTTGTCTGGAGTGGATGCCAGGAACTACCAGCCGTTTGCCACAATCCTGATGATGAAATTAACATACAACGTGGCCAGAGGCAAGGAAGTTGTAGGCATGCTGAGCTAGAGCCCTGCTGTGCCGTACCAGAAGCAGCTCTACCTCTGGACTTACTAAGTCCCATTGAGTTGGGGCTTTCTTTTGTCTGTAGCCCAAAGAATCCCAACTGGCAGAGAAGGCTCCAGTCTTCTCTGGGCTCTCTCAGATTGGGTACACTTGGCCTCAGTCAGGGCATCTTCCCGGTTCAAGAATCTTGCAAGCGGATTCTGAAATCTTTGTGGGTCTCAGACTCTCATTCATTTCCCTTAAAACTTAATTTGCTTTCCCCTGCATTTTGGGGATGAAAATGGGAGGAAGGAAAGTAAAATGGGGAAATTTTCCTGAGAGATCCCTGAAGCAAAGAGGAAAATCAACAAACTTACTTTTCCAAAAGTGCAGGCAGTGCTGAAGTGACAGGTAGGCTGCCTTTCCCATTGGGTGATTCCGACTGAATGAAAAACAGAAGACAGAGAACTGAGGATGTGCTATGCAAGGAAGAAGCCAGAGCTGCTGGGTTTTTGATGATGGGAGGGGGGCTGCTGCTTCACCTCTTTCCTCCATGCCCCCACTTTCCAATCTTCATCTGAGCCCAGACCTTGGCCCTTTCCCTCGGGCCTTCCCTGTCCTCCTTTCCTCAGCATTCCTTTCCTCTACGGCACATGCAGCTTGCTCCTTTTCCTTCGCCTCTGCTAAGTTTCCTTAAGCAAAGAGGAGAGTTTACATCTTGAGGCTCCATTCTGGAGAGAAGCCATCAGTTTTTCTCTGTCCTGTTTACTGACTGTGACTGAACACCAGTGGGCCTCCTACAAGTGCAGGTCCCAGGCTCCCTGTGATAGATTCACACAAGCCCATCACTGTCCCGAGAGACACAGCTCCAGGTACAATTCTCAAGAGATGCCAGTACTATTGAAAGCTCAAACAATCAGAAATTTCATTACAATATGTTCCCCAGGATTTCTACGTTGTGTTGTTGCAATGGATTTGGTTTAAGTAATGGTTCTCAATGTTGGCTGCACATTAGAATCACCTGGGGAAAGTTTTAAAAAAGTATTGATCCACTCCAGAATCTTGGTGTGGGGCCTGGGGGAAGAATGTTTTAAAAGTACCCTGTGTGGTTTTTAATCTATGGCCCTGATTGCCAGCCCCTAGTCTAAAGGAACATATATTTGGCAAATAAATGTATGCTTTTAGGCAAAGTATGGGAAATAGAACTGTTAAAACACACTAACCAGTCCTCTCCAATATCCTTAAACATTTTTTTCAGGTTGTTCTATTTTAGTGGGTAATTTGGGAGTTTAGGTTGATTTCATACATGATTGAAATGCTTGAGGCAGGAAACAGTGAGTACCACCCATTGGTATTACATAGGGCTTGAATTTCCAATTGCTTACACAATCAGATTGTTTCCTTATAGGGTAGTGCTAGTCATAGGCAGGGGATAGAGAAACCACTGAAGAAAGAATTAGAGAGAATTAACCAGATGCACAAAGGCCTGGGATACAGAAAATATTTTGTTATATCCAAACTGTCTTTGCCTAAAAGAAATGGAAATGTATTTTTCCTGATTGTTACTAATACATTCGTATTATGGAAATATAAAAAGGCATCAGGAAGAAAATAGAAATGAACTATTTTACCATTGCCTAGAGATAACCATTGTTAGCTGTTTCATGTATCTTCTACCAGAAATTTCTGTCTACGCACAGAAACATACTCTTTTAAAAAGTACAAAACAGAATTATACTGTTTATACACTAGGTTTTGTATATCCTATTTTACTTGCTTTTGATTCATAATAAGTTACGGACCATTCTACAGAAACCCCTTATAGGGATATCCATTTGCTTAACCAGTCTCTTATTAGTGAACACGGAGTTGTTTCCCGCTTTTCATTGTTATGAACAATGCTACAATGAACTGAGGCAGGAGAACAATGGGTTGGTTGAAGAACTCAGGCTCCTGAAACAGAGAACCTAGGGTTCAAAGCTGTTCTACCACCTATCACACATTACAAACTTCAGCTACTTAAGCCCACTGCAGAGTAGAAAAAAATTATAACCACCTTGGCGGATTGTGGTGTAAGCACAAAAAGAGTTATTGTTTGCAAAGAATGCTGAGCTGCCAACACCATGCTCAAGGGCAGTAGGACTTCCCAGAGTAGTAGAATACATGTAGCCTGGTCTGTATTGGGTTTTTGAGCCTATCACTCAGATTCTATTCTGGAAATTTCCTCTCCTTGTCGACCCTGCCCCCATTTGGTCACCCCCCTAGGACTGAGTATGAAGGAAAGGTTATTTTACTATTCCGTGCTGGGAGGCAGGCATCATCATACTTACCAAGGCTGGTAAGGAGGGGATGGGTGATGAACTGGGAGTTTGGCCAGGCAGATTCAGGGCATTAAACTTAGGAACAACGGCAACGCTGACCCTCCGGCGAGGCATATTCTGTGGGGAGAGAAGTGACCAGGCTCATTGTCTTGGAGGTAGCAATAGCCATAATTCAGAAGGGCTTGGGAAAAAAACCTACTCATTTCTAATGATGAAATGGCATTCACTGGATATTTTGGTTTTGCAGTAGCAATGATGGAATTGGTGCGGAGAGAGTGGCCAAAGTTGACCCAAATTTCCCAAATTGGTGGTGAGTGAACCCTCAATCTGTTCTATTTTAGCTTATGAGATCTTGGAAATACAGAATGGAAATGACCCCACAGTCTCTGGGTAACACCCTGGAGACTGTATTAAAGCTGCCTGTAGCAATATGAAGGCTTATGATCATTTCATGTTGATTTAAGGGATGTATACATAGTTAAGGAAACCACGAGCAAGAAAGGTAAGATGTCAGAGGCTAAACTTGAGACCGTGGGAAGCCGAATAGAAACTCTGTTCAGAGATTCTCTGGCATCCATGGATCCCAGAATGAATGATTGTTTGGGTGACCATGGAAACTTCTGTCATACTCTTTCCAGGAGCCCTGGTATTCCTTGAACATGCATACCTTTCCCAGCGTGAGGGACATGGACCGTGCCGTGCGAGGGACCCCATCTTCTGCAGCAGGAGGGAGCAGAGAAGAGAACACAAGTAAGTTTCAGACTAGGCACCAGCAGGAAACAGAAACTAGGCTATGGTATCCATGAGCCAGAACTGGCCCTCAAGGGATAGCCCAAGGATCTGGGTGTTGGGGACGCTGAGTTTGGCACTTCATTCTTTGAGATGGGGCTGCAGAGTGGAGGTTTTTTTTGGACAAAACCTTTATCCTAACTCCGCTTCTCACTATAGGAAGCCCCAGTCTTGGACCTCTGATCTTTATCTGACCCCACTAAACACACTCTGCATAACACCCTAGATAGTGTATGACAACTACTCAGCAATACCAAGACTTATTGGGTTATTTCATGCTCCTTCAAGGATGTACAGTCAGAGAAACTATGAGCAAGGAAGGTGTGGTGCCAGTAAATAATGAAAACTTGCTGACAAAAGTAGTTTCAATATGTTACCTACCAAATGACTCAGAACAAATGAAGCTACCACCCCAGGATTTTCTTCTCCTTACTGCATACATTAAGTGATATAACTCATGTAATATGTTTAAACTTCGCACCTGGATAATACTACCACCAGGAAACACCTGAGTACTTTCAGAGAAAGGTATTTGCTAGCTCAATTCAATTTGATTCAGTTTGACCAATATTATTTAGCCTGCATCTGTCTCTCTTTCATATCCATGCATTTTTGGTGTGTCTCTTGAAAAGCACATAGCTGTTTTTTTTTTTTTTTTCAAAAAAATTTTTTTCTTGAGACTGTCGTCTCACTCTTCCATGAGGCTGGAGTGCAGTGGGCACGATCTTGGCTCACACTCAACATTTGGCGCTGGCGGTTCATCATGATTCTCGTGGGCTCAGCCTCGCGCCGAGTAGCTGGGATTAAGATGTTGCTGTCCACTATGTCTGGCTAACTTTTGTATTTTTAGTGAACAGCGTTTCACCAGTTGGCCAGGCTGGTCTCCACTCCTGAGCTTAAAGTATCTGTCTGCCTTGGGCTGCCCAAGTGCTGTGGAATTACAGGCATGAGCCACCCACGCCTGGCCTGTTTTTTTCATAATCTAATCTAGATTCTCTATTAACCAATAGATTTATTTACTAGTTATAGTTCTTGTGATTAATATATTTGTATTTATTTCTACCACTAATATTTTTATGTTTTCTATTTTGTTTTATTCATTGACTTTTTCACCCCTCCCTCCCACCCTACACATTTGTTTGGAACTTAACATTCTATTGGTACTTCAGTGCATGTCCTCTTACTTTTTGGACCATATGCGACTTTAAATTTACAAATTAAACAAAGGAGCATCTTCTATCTCTTTTTTTTGAATTACATCTTAAAATAGTAACCCTCCCTCTTAATGTATATTTGCTTCCAGATTTTTATTTCACCTTGCTTTTCGTATTCGCCTAAATAGTATTCATTATGTTTGTTTTGGTTGTCTACAGAGGAGTGCTTAATTGGATTTACACCTACATGTTTACAAATGTCTTTTGGACTATTCCTTCTTGTATCCTTACTGTTGTCTTTGTGAGGGCTCAGAATTTTTGTTTTAACTTTTATTTTAGGTTCGGCGTTACATGTTGCAGGTGCCATTACATAAACTTGTCATGAGGATTTGTTATAAGATTATTTCATCACCCAGGTTACTAAGCTAGTAGACAGTATTTATTTTTTCCGTTCCTCTCCCTTCTCCTACTTTCTACCCTCAAGTAGGCCCTGGTACCTGTTGTTCCCCTGTTTGTGGCCATATGGACTCAATGTTTAGCTCCCACTTCTTAGTGAGAACATGCAGTATTTGGTTTTCTGTTCCTGTGTTAGTTTGCAAAAGATAAGGGCCTCCAGCTCCACCCATGTTCCTGCAAAAGAGGTGATCTCATTCTTTTTTATGGCTGCATAGTATTCCATGGTGTAAATGTACCATATTTTCTTTATCCAGTCTGTCACTGATGGGCATTTAGGTTGATTCCATGTCTTTTCTATTGTGAAAAGTGCTGCAATGAACATTTGTGAGCATGTGTTTGAGTTCAATTTCAATCTTCCTTAGCTACATCCTCTAGTTGTTGTTTCAGCGAGGGTCTGTGAGAGGTAAACTTTCTCAATTGTCTCCAAATGGTCTTTACCAAGCCCTCAATCCTGCATGGTATCTTAGCCATTTGGGTTATCTCTAGGTTGACCGTTATTTTCTCGTAGTTCTTTTAAGAGATTATTCCATTGCCTTCTTCTACTATTGCCATTGAGAATTGTCATTCCTTTGTAAATAATCTTCTCTCTTTGATGACTTTTAAGATCTTCCCTTTGTCTTCACTGTTCTATAGTTTCTCTTTGGTGTGTTTTTATTTTTCCTGCTTGGAATTCACTGTATTTTCTGAATCCAATGATTGATGACTTTCCTTAGTTCTGGAAAATCCTCAGCCATTCTTTCTTGGAATATTTTCTCTCGTTGTCTTTCCCCTTTAAGGATGGCCTAATAAATGTATTTGGGACTTTCTCATTCTACATTCTATATCCCATATCTCAATGCTTCTTTCATAATTTTAATCAGTTTATTTCTCTGAACTGTACATCGGGTAACTTCCTCAAACCTATCTTCAAGTTAACTAATTTTTCTTCAGCTGTGCCCAATTTGATTTAAATGTTATAATCAATCAGGCTAAGCTAGGTTATACTAGTTTAACAGCATAGTAATAATAAGCAACTCCAAAGTATTAGTGGCTGATAACAAGGAAGATGTGATTTGCTTATGCTACACGCCCATTTACTTCTGAGTCTGTAGCAGGCTTGGTTCAGTGTTTCCTCATTCTGGACTCAGCCTAATATTGGCCTTCTAGTATTCTGGAGCAATGATGGTTATCACGTTAGGAGGAAGAAACATGGCAGATTGCATACTAGTTCTTGAAGGCCTAGGTTCAGATGTGACACGTCCTTCTACTCACATTTCATTCACCAAAGCAAGTCCATGGCCTTGCCTTGTGACTTTAAGGGGATGGGAAAATGTGCCCAGAAGGAGATCTGGAATAACGAAGAATAGCCTCAAATATAGTAACTAACACACCTAAGCTCTTGAGTTTTTAATTTCCATGACTTTATTCCTTACTTTGAGAAGTTCTATTTTATTCTTCTTTGATACCTGTTTTCTTTTACTCTGTTTTTGATCCATTCTTTCATGTCTCCAATGATTTTTAAGTTAGAGACAGGGTCTCACTCTGTCATCCAGGATGAAGTGCAGTGGCACGATCACAGCTTACTGCAGCCTTGACTTCCTGGGCTCAAGCGATCCTCCCACCTTAGCCTCCTGAGAAGCTAGAACTATAGGTGCCCACCACCACATCCAACTAATTATTTTTTATTTTTATTTTTTTGGAGAGACAGGGTCTCACTTTGTTGCCCAGGCTGGTCTCAACCTCCTGGCCTCAAGCAATCCTTTCACCTTGGTCTCCCAAAGTGTTGGGATTATAGACGTAAGCCACTGTACCCAGCTACCCCTAATAATTTTAAGCTTATCTTTAAAAAAATTATCAGATCATTTTATTTTCCGAGGTTCTTAGGATATGATCCTATTCTTTGGGGTACCTGATGATTTTTGTTCATGATGAATTGTTTTCTTGCGTATTTTATAATTTTAGGTTGTGAAGTCATCTTCAGTGAGGCTTTATTAGAGGAATCCTGTGTGTCTGGGTGCAGCGTCTGTCTCTCCAGAGTGCTTTTCTACTTATTTCTAACATGTCTTAGAGGCACCATCTTGCTGTTCTTTTCAAATCCTCTGCATATTGCATCATCACTGCTGTCACTTTGTGAGTATGTACTTTTCCTATGAGGAAGGAGGAAGTGTTTTTTCCTACTAGAGCCCAGGGTGAAACAAATTTCCTTGTTTCTCTGCTGGTTGGTGATTATTATTTTTCCTTATCCAAATTCCATCTGAGGATCTAGTCCTTGGACAGCCTTAACTTTCTGTGGGAATCTGTGTCAACTCTCTACCATAGGTGTTCCAGGCCTTGTCTCAGATCACAGGCAAGTGTAAAAGCTCAGCTCCCAGATAACTGAGGCTGCCACTTGTCCCCAAGGAAGCTGCAGGGTCAGCTTGGTTTCAGTTCTCTTTTCTTTTCTCGTATCTGGATATTTCAATTTCTTTTCCTGTGGATTCAGCTATTTAGACATAGGTTTGCTTTATTTTGTCCAGCAGAAATTTCTAAGTGCTTGTGGTCAAAAGATTCTCAAGTTTTCCAGTCAGCCAAAACAGCAGAACCAGAAAATATTCTTTACATATGAAGAGTTTATATACATTAGTAAACTACCAAGCTTACAAGTGGACAAAGATAATAAATACAGAATTTTTAAAAGTAGAAATACAAATGTTCCATAAACATTTGGAAAGGCTGAGAAATACAATTAAACCAGTAAGATAAGACACAATTTTGGCCTATCGAAGTCATGGATACTTACAAAAAGAAAGAACAAGAATGGTGTCAATGGCACAGTGAATTGAGTATTGTAACCCATTCAGTGAAAACATAAATGGGTTATTTGAAAATAATTTGCTTTAAGAGCCTTAAAAAATTTCTTTCCCCTGAGCTAGTATTTATACTTCTAGAAATCTACATTAAGGAAATAATCCAAAATGCAGACAATTGGTAAATTTCATATTCAGAAAGAAACATATTATTTTTTTAAAATGTATATCACCTTCCTTGAAATCAGGGATATTTTATTTACTGTAGTCTTCAAAACCCCAGGCATAGACAAAGATTGCAGAGGTTCTATAAAAGGCTTAAGACACAAACACTATTAGGGAACAGTCATAGAGTGTCTTATGGAAACACCTGCTGAGTGGTTACGGCCCCTCTGCCTAGCCCAAGCTGAGGTATAGCTTGGAAGAACAACTGGAGTGGAAACAAATATTGGAAAAACATGTACAGCTATCGTTGACCTTTGCTATGGTAAGCGTTTTATCATCCTCCTAGACTGAATATGGGACTCTGTCGTGTGTTCTGCTTGGAAGTCTGCTTTCTTCTGTCATAGCACTGGCTATACTGCCTTGACTTCCCAAAGGTTGGGAGCTCCTTTGGGTCTGTGACTGTGTGCCCTTTACCTCTATATTCCAGTATTATATAGGGCAAGCCAAAGGTACTTAGTAAATGTCTGTAGAATGAATGAATGAGACATGGGTAACTGCTCATCCTATAAATCTTAGATAAGGTAGTTTGCAGGAGGCCTTGTGCAGCAATAAATGTAGGAGCCCATGGCATTAGGATTCCTTTGGCGGCAGCTTCCCCAGCTTGCAACATGGACGGAAAATGGTTTGTTAGAAGCCCAGGTGCATATGGGTCAGGAGCCTTGCTGACAGATCCAAAGCAGACAGTCTGGAGCATGTGTGCATGCTGCCTTTGGACTCTGGGACGTGTCACTGACATTCTCCAGGAAACTTGTGAAACCTCCTGTTTATAAAGGTTTCTCCATCTGTTATACTTTCTGTACTTTCCCTTCTGCAGCTCTTGGTAACACGGATGTTTGCATTCCACAGGGATTCCTGTTGCTAAAAGGTCTGTTTTCTCCTGCTGGCCACCCTCATCAGCCAGAGTCCAAACCCTGACAGTGCCCACAGAGAGATCTGGTCCAAGGCACCAACCTCTTCCTGCTGGACTGAGAAAGAGTCTCCGACTGTGTCTCTCTTTACCTCAGCTTTTGCACACCTCCAATATATTGTCCACTGAAGTCAGGATAATCTAAAAATAAAGCCTGATTACATCATGAGGTCTAAACTTACCATTAACTCCCCATTGCCTAGAGGTTTAAATTGCTAGCATGGCCTGGCATGTGGCCCTGGTCTACCAAGTCTCACTTCCAACCTGTCACTACCACACCCCGACACTGCCACTATGGAAAACTGTGTGTTTCATCTTCTTTTCACCCCCAATCTCCACACCTTTGTCCATGCTGGTTTCTCCACCTGGGATGCATCTTCCTCTATTGACTAGAGAACTCCTATTTTTACTTTAAAACACCAAGATACCATCCCTCTTTGAAGCCTTCCTTGTCTCCCTTCAAGCAGAATCAGGTGGGCCCTCCTCTGTGCTCCTATGGCAATTCATATAGAACTTCTAAACAAGAATATTTCTTTGAAACATTTGTCTTATCCATGAGTCTACCGTTTTTCTCCGTAACATCTTCAGCCAGACTCTCACGCCACCCTAGCTGCCCAGGTTTCACCCCTCACCTGGACTGTTGCAAGAACATCTTCATGGAGTTTTCTGTCCCTGGTTTGTCCCAATAATGTAATTGCCACACCATAGTTCAAGGGAATCTTCTTAAGCTACATATATGATCAAGTCATTTTCTTGATTAAAATCATTGGCTGGATCCCTAATGCTTTCCAGAAAAAAGCCCAAATTCCTTAGCATGTGCTGCCTAAAAGGGGGTCCCAAAGCACACAGACTTACAGGGTCTAGGGTCACTCTCAGACCCTATAAGTCCAAGAGTTCTAGTAGCCTGTGGGCTTTGTATCCATGGTCAGCCACTGTGATTTATTGCTTTGGGAGTTAGGAAGTCACTTTGGGAATGCTCATGTTTCCTGGTTCCAGACTGCCCTGCCAGGCCCACTGAAGCAGCTGCTGGGAGGCCCCTGTGGACAGTACTGGACAGGGGTGCTGCTCAACTGGAAATAAGTCATGGGGCTGCTCTGACAGCTCTAATCTTAGCCAAGAGCTCTTGGAAGTCTACCTTGTAGGGCCAAGATGGGGCAGGAGCCTAGGTCCTTACCAGAGGGGCCACAGCTGCGGCTTGAATTCTGATTTGCAAGCTTTTTAAACTCCATGAGCTCCGCATGGTCCTTCTCATACGTCCTCTTTAGATTCTCCACATACTGCATCATCACTTCTGTTGCTTTCGACATGCGCTTTTCCTGCAGGGATGGAGGGTGTGAGTACATGAGGCCACTGGAGGAAAGGCTCCATTGGCACTTATTTGCTCTGATCAAGCCCAGGGGTCTGGGCTAGGAGAATCAAAAGGATACAGGGACGAGACTCTGCCTGAGCTGAGAGGTGGACTCAGCACCTGCACTCAGGGAGAATGGGAAAAACACAGCCACCACACTGCAGGAGGTGAGAGGCAGAGGAGAGTTGTTTCTGCTTGCAGAGAACAGGTCAGGGGAGGCTTCATGGAGATGGAATGAAGTGGATATAGGATGTGAACAGCATCTGGGCACATAGACAAGGGCAGGAGGGACAGAGCATTCAGGCCAGGGAACTCCAAGAGGATTCTAGAGGCAGGGAAGCACAGGGCTTATATGTAGATGAGGTTTTATCCTCTGGAAAGGAGTCCTCTGGAGAGTGAAGAAAGGCACTATGACAAATTGTGCTGGGACAATCGACATAAACCAGGGCTGCCCAGAAAGTCCAGACACTACAGGTCTCCTGCCTCTGTAGGAATCAGCAAGCAGTTGGGTCTATTTGTAAGTCTGGGTTGTGAAGGACCTCGAATGCTAGACAAAGGAACTTGAACTTACTCTGAAGGAAAAGGGAAGCCATTGAATATCTCCCTTAAAGTAAGAGAGTAACATAATCAGGTCACAGACAGAGATGGGACTCAAGGGAGTGAGACTGGTGGCAGTGAGAGCAGCACGGAAAGACCGAATGAAGTCTGACCTGGCCCAGTGGAGCCAGAGAGGAAGGCAAAGACTGAGGCATAGAAGCCAAGATGAGGGAGCCATTTGGAGAAGGGAGCAGATGGCGTGAGTGGCAGTTGGGCTTAGGCACACGTTTGGGAAGCCTGCACACAATGAGAACAATTTCTCTCTGCTCATACCCTGGTTAGATCCCCCAGAGGATCTAGCTCAGGCCCTGCCTGGCCACAGAGGGACACGCCCAGTGGATTTGCAGGAACAGGTCCCACAGCCATGCATGGCTGAGACCAGCCACTTCCCTAGAGTCCTCCTGTGTTGCTGCTCCCAGCTGGAGTGACTTCCTGCGCACCACTGCTGAGTCAGGTGTCCTTGTCCCGAAGGACACAGGGTGGGATGGCCCAGCGGCAGGTCCTTTAACAGGAACTGCTCAGGGCTGCACCATCCCAGGAACCCCCTCTCTTGTAACCAGAGCAGCAGGACATAGATTCATGTCATAGCAACATAATAACAACATCCAAACGCTTTACAAGTACGGCAGCAACCCCCTATGGGAAATACTGTGACCATCCTCATTTTATACTTGAAAAGACTGAAGCAGAGAGACCTCGGTAAGCGGCCCAAGGTCACACAGCGAATGAAGGGTGGAGCCTGGATTGGAACTCGGGCAGTGTGCTCCTGCTAAAACATGCGGGGCCAGGGCGGGGCTCTCTGTGGTTCAGGACTTCAAAGTGGCCAAGAGAGAGACAGACCTGGGCCTGTGTCCCGCTCTGCCACTCACTAGTGCTTTTACTTTCTGAGACTCTGCATCTTCATCTGGGAAACAGGATATTTATAGGGTTGCTGGGTGGATTTAATGAGACAAAGCAGGTTTTCCTAAAGCATATTTTGCCAAATACTAGCTCGATGGGAGTTGAATAGGTATTTTTTGAGAAAAATAAAATGGAGGGCTGTGGGGGGAATTCTTCAGTTAAATATGTTTGGGAACTACGTAGGTAAAGTGAACCAGCCTTCTCCACCACAGCCTTGATTAGGCCAATGTGTTAGACACCACTATCCTCCAATCAAAGCCTTGATTAGGCCAACGTGTTAGACACCACTATCCTCCAATCAAAGCCTTGATTAGGCCAATGTGTTAGATACCACTATCCTCCAATCAAAGCCTTGATTAGGCCAATGTGTTAGACACCACTATCCTCCAATCAAAGCCTTGATTAGGCCAATGTGTTAGAAATTTCCAAGAAAGAAAGATAGTATGCAGTAGTCCCCAAACTTGTGCGTCCACAGAAACCTTTTTCCACAAAGCACCTTGAGGGTTCAGTGATCTGCCAAAAATACTCTGAATAATACTGCAATGGTATACATAGGATGCTTGGCCCAGAGGAAGCCACCTCTAAGTGGTATCTGTAGTTGCCGCTGCTTGGGTGATTGCTCTACTTTATGTAAGTGGAGCAGAGTCGGCAAGACTGGGGGCTGGAGAGGCTCACCTGGCGGACGGCACCCACCACCTCAGCTCTACTGGAGAGGCGGGCAGCCAGGCGGTGCAGGACAGCGATGTCCTCCAGCAACTTCTGGTAGGTCTCCCGGTGCTCACAGTGGTGCCAGAGTGAAGCTGAGGACTGAAGAGGAGTAGGAGCATCAACTGGGGTCCTCAAATAATGTTATGGAGTAAATCAGCAGTCCCCAACCTTTTCGGCCTCAGGGACCAGTTTCATGGAAGACAATTTTTCCACAAACCTGGTGGGGGCGATGGTTTGGGGATGAAACTGTTCCACCTCAGATCATTAGATTCTTATGAGGAGGGTACAACCTAGATCCTTTGCATGCTGGGTTCACAACAGGGGTCGTGACCCTGTGGGAATGGAATGCTGCTGCTGATCTGGCAGGAGGTGGAGCTCAGGAGGTCATGCTCTCAGGCAGCTCACCTCCTACTACGCAGCCTGGTTCCTAACAGGCTATGGTTCGGTACTGGTTTGCGGCCCAGCCCAGGGGTTGGGGACCACTGGGCTAAATGTGCCCCTCACAAAATCATCTGCTGACTTTTGGGGGGACATATCCTAACTCCTCAATGTGATAGGGAAGTGGGGCCTGGGCGAGGTGATTAGGTGAGGAGGGTGGAGCCCCCGTGAATGTAATTAGTGCTCTTATAAAAGGGACCCCAGAGAGTTCTGTTCTCTTTCCACCACGTAGGATATAATGGAAAAGTGGTAGTCTGCAAGCCAGAGAGGGTCCTCACCAGAACCCGACCGTGCTGGTGCCCTGATCTTGGACTTCCAGCCTCCAGAACTATGAGAAATAAAGGTTTGCCATTTAAGCCACCCAGTCCATGGCCCTTTGTTACAGCAACTCAAACTCACTAAGACACACACCAAGCCTAGACTCAGCTCTCATGAAACCAGCTCTGGGCCCCATCCAGGCTGAGAGAAGTGGCCTCTGCCAGGCCTGGGCCACAGTTTCTTCTGGTGCTTGGAGAAGCTCGATGTGAACACACTATCCCTGGCTGGTCTGAAAGGAGGAGTCATACCCAGGCCACCCTGCCCCCTTCTGAGAAGCTCCCAAGGGTTCGGAGGACTTGCCCACAGCCCTGAGGGAACCAGGCCTTTGGGATCTCTGCCTCAGTTCCCCCCAGCTCTCTGAGGAACACTCTGTCAGAGTCTTGGCTCAATTTTTCACTTCAGGAGACTCTACTTGGTACCTGAGAGAAGGATGACACCCTGTATGGCCCTTGGAGACAGTTCCTGCTTCAAGGATTCCTCACATCAGGCTCCACAATTACCGTAATGGAAGCTTTGAAGTTTTCCAGTTCCTTCTCAGTGTTCTCCTCTGTCAGGTTGCGTTCCCTTTCAGCCTGGTTAATTCTAGATTCCAGAGTGTAGCTGTCATTTCTAAAGGCCAAGGACAGTTGTACAAACACGTTCTGTTGGGAACAAGAGTGTGAGAGAGGTGCTAGGAGGAGTTATTGCAGAGGACAAGGCTACAGGTGTGTTCCTTGTATGAGCATTTTGCAGCAGTCCCTGGAACCAGCTGCCAAAGCAGCCATGTGCAAGTGAAATGCTCACTTCACAGGAAACCACAAAAAAGATGGTAAAGCAGTAACCCAAGGTCCATGCTAGGCCCTTCCCAGAATTAGAGGGCCAAATGTATTCTA